TCTCTCTCTCTCTCTTCATCTTTTCCATCTGTCTTACTTTCCCGTTTCTTCTAACGATGCAAAATAGACATAAACAGTTTTTTATTATTTAAACGCGTACTTAATTTCGGGGTACAATGGCACTAGTTTTTGATCTGTCAACGACGTGTTACATGTTGGACAAGAGCCTCTTGCATCTCTTACTTTCTCAATACACTGCAAGCAAAAAATATGCCCACACGCTGTAGCATGGGCTTTATATTCAGGCTCAACGCGATGATATGGATCTTCATAGCAAATAATGCATAAATGTGTACCAGCGTTGATACGCATTGCAGCATCATCAGCCTCAACAGATGCTAAAGCGGCTGTAATATGATCAACGGTTTGGGCGGTTTCGATCGGTTCAGCGGCAGCTGGCTCAGCGGAGATAATCGGCTCAGAACGTTGCACCCATGAAACGGAATTTTCCTCATCAGAGTCTTCTAATTGGTAGTTAGGGATGTTAAGCAAATCTTCCGAGTCGATACGTTGGCCGTTCTCTTCGGGCTCAGAGTCAACAACATTTATTTCATCGATGGATTCATCGTAGAACGTAGATACTTGCGACGGTGATGGTGATGGTGATGTGGCACGTTCAGCAGATGTCGATGACGGAGCGCGAGGTGAACCACGATTTGACGCTAATTCATGGTGAACGGGGTGAATCGCGTATCGGCGCTGCGCGAATATCGCTTGCGGTGTTGGTATAAAATATGGATACGGAGCCATCGGATATTGCGGATACTGCGGCGGTGAAATATTCACTCGCTGTGATTGATATGGCGTGTAGCGCCGTGAACCCTCAACAAAGTTGAAAATCATCTGCGTGCTACTTTGAATTTCGTTCAAAACGGCCGATATTCTGCTATACTGTTGTGTCACTATGTGCACCAAAGTTAATTAGGAAAATGCATTAATTAAGTGAAATATTAGAAAAAAAATGTATATGGCGTTAATTTTTTTCAAAAAATACTTACACTCATTTAGAATTGGTTTCAAAAAACTGTTTGAGTTATCCATGTTGCGCATGTTGACAGTCCACGAAAACTGGTGACTATCGGTAACAAGCTTCGCTCTTTTATTTCGGCAATAGTTATGCTAGGTATTCAATGATCATTGTTTTCGGCATTCAGCTATTTGAATGACCACCGGCACTTGTGAGAAGTGAAGTGGAAAAATGAACACCGTTAAACAATAGATTAAAAAGAAAATCTAGGCCTACCCCACATCTCTCTCTCTCTCTCTCTCTCTCTCTCTTTCACCCTCTCTTTCTTTCTCCCTCTCAAGAAATAAGAAAAAAAAGAATGAAATTGTCAAAATGCACCGAATTCTACGTCCTATTGATCATAATTTATCGATGATCTCACAATAGACAAAAAGGTCGATTATGATAACAAAGGAAAAAAACAGTCCATTGTTCATTGTAAGAGAATGATCTGAAAGCGTGGGAAAGCGTCGTTACAGGTATGACTCTGTCCATGTATTTCTCTCTCCCACAATAAGAAGGTTTTTCGACTAGATTATATGGGATGAATGCATCTTTCGCCCAGATGTATACTATTCATATATCCTCTTTTTTTATCTTTAACTCTCTCTCTCTCTCTCTCTCTCTCTCTCTCTCTCTCTCT